TTTTTTTTTTCATTTTTCTAAGCAAAAAATTTGAATTTAAGCAAGATTTGTTCACACAATTAGTTTGTAGTCCTGTTTCTTTGTTCTAATTAATGCATGCTCACAACTCGTACTCAGTACTAAATGAATACTGCTTAACAAGGTACTTCGACGATTGCTTTTCCAGTGTAGATGTACGTTAAGTTCACACAAATTTTACAAATGTTTACTTTAAAAAATTGTTTAAAAATGTCATTTTTCAAACCTAATTTGATTTTTGGCATTAAGGAAAAATGCTATTGTCTGCGTCATCTTTTGTTGTTTACTGCATTGTGGTTCAAATGGTAGCAGTTTAAGAATGTTTGAGCAAAACTTTATTTGCAAAGTTAACGCGTTGTGAAATATAATACTGTAGACAGGTTAAATGACTGCTTGCAGGTAAATGTGGGAAGTTCTGAGATGCCCAGTGAATGAAGACCTTGTCGTAACTGCAGAATTTGACTCAGAACTTAAAAATGGCAAGTGTTTGCTATGTATTGCCTCAGTGTTTTTGTCTGTCGAAAAAACTTGTTTTTGTTTCATTTTTGTAACCCTTATTAAGAGGTTTTTTAGGCACGTTAAACTATATTTTGCTTAAATTGCGATGTTCAAAGGACGAGAACAAGGTTTTGGGAACAAAGTCTTTCGCATGGCCGGAGTCTAAACTCCCTTCCGATGTTGGTGTCTGAAGCTTTTATCGAGCTTATTTAGTATCTGTGCATATATGCAGAGTTTTTTGTTTCTCCCTCTTGATGCTTTTTCGATAGAGAGGTACATATCATCGAACCCAAAAATGAGTGTTAGAGGAAATTTATTGTATTTGTTCATAAACTTAGATTAAGAACGGAGGATTTATTATGTTGAAAAGGTAAGGTTGGTAAGGGAATGATAGTTTAATTTGAAGGATTAATTGTGGCTCTCATCATGCTGTTTGGTTGGTTGGCATATACACTCAAACTGCAGGAGTTGCGATAGTTATTTTTTGTAAATTCGTTATTTATAATATGATTTCCATCCTTCAGGTGACCTTCAATGATGAAAAAAATGTCTTACTATTCAAAGGATCCTCAAACGTTGCTCAAGTGCCATTTAGGTAGTTTCTTCTGGAACTAAAGTTACTATTCTTGCCATGAACGACAGATGGTGTAACTGGTTCATTCATGACCTGGTCAAATAAGTTTCTTTTTATCTGTGCAGCAACGAGTAATGAAACATCAGCGCAGTTGTCACCATTTCGCATATCCCCGACACATTTTTTCGTATTAAGATCCCTTATGCACTTTAAATATGCTACCTGACTAATGCTTGTCTCTTGTTTTAATATTTCGACTATACTTCTTTCAGGTTACCGGTAGCTACTCTTCGCCGTTCCAACGAGGGGTCGTCTTTGAAAGCAGCCATATATTCTTCCTTGTCTGTCGAAAGCGCAGCGCCTCTCCCTCGAATTGCTTCGCTAGCTCTGAATGTTATACAAGAAAAGGTGCTGTCTTTTTTTTCATATATGGTTAAATTTTAAGTCGAATTGGATACTGGTTGTTAATATTTTTACTTGTGACACATACTGAAGGTTTTTATATTCCTCCATTTACACAGCCACCGTTCCGCTCACTTTGTATCAGATGCTGCAGTTTTATGTAGTTTGAAAAGAAGAACTGAATTGCCAATGAGAATTGGTTTCTTTGCTTGTTACTAGTTTTTTTTTTTTTTTTTTTTTTTTTTTTT